GTGGGGCTGGGCAGGGCAGGGATCGGGGGGGCAGCTAGGGGAGCGGGCACGGTCAGTGGGGTTCCCCCCCATGGTCCCTTTCCCCCTCCTCCAGCACCACCGGCCATTTACTTACCAGCACTGGAGCACAGCTACTGGCACACTGCCTGCCCTGCACAGGTAGGCAGCATGCTTCAGCACCAGGGCAAGGGCCAGCCACAGAGACGCTCTGGCAGCCAGAGCGTCTCTCTGCAGGATCCAGCCTCCGGTTGCCCCTGCCCCCCTTTTCCCATGGTCCCTTTCCCCCTCCTCCAGCACCACCGGCCATTTACTTACCAGCACTGGAGCACAGCTACTGGCACACTGCCTGCCCTGCACAGGTAGGCAGCATGCTTCAGCACCAGGGCAAGGGCCAGCCACAGAGACGCTCTGGCAGCCAGAGCGTCTCTCTGCAGGATCCAGCCTCCGGTTGCCCCTGCCCCCCTTTTTTTTTAGCTTTTTTTTTTTGACCCCTGGATATCCAGGGGTCTAATTTTGCCCCCACACTGCAAACTTGCCCCCGCACTGCCTTTTCCTGTTCCTGCATGTGCACATACCTCTTGCAGCATCTCAAAAGGGTTTGAGATGCTGCAAGAGGCATCTGTGGGCCTCTTGCACCCCTCTTACAATCAAGGCAGAAATACGAAAGGGAATCAATGTAGGGTGAATTATCCTCTCATGGTTAGAGGTAGTCCCTGCAGGACAAGGTTGGCAGACACTGGGATGGGGAACTTGCTTTGCTGTTGGCTATCCTGTGAATAAAAGGAGTTTAGTTTTCATTTAATTTAATTTTTATTAAGTAATTACTTTAGGAATGTAATTTTAAAAGGAGATCACTATAGGGGTGTTTAGAAAGAGAAACAAGTCTATGGATAAACATTCCTTTGAAAGCGGAAGGCTTTATCAGGTCTTATAGTGTAACTTTTATATCTGCATGCTCCTGTAGCAATACAAATAAGCTAAGTTGCAGAAACTTTAACCCTGAATGAAACAGGGTTAAAGTTGCATTGTTTGGCTGTAGTTTATCATCAGGGATCCTGGGTTTTTTGTTGATGTTTTAAAATCCAAAATTCTCTGATTAAAAAAACCCCAAATCCATGTTTTTTCATGATTAAAATTAAACACCACTATATACATAGGTATCAGTTAAATACAACATTTTATTGATATATTTACAATTTTAAAGTAGTTTGGAAGCCTACCAGTGCCTCAATAATTTGGTGTTTGATTTTGATTTTTTTAATCATAAAAAATCAGAGTTCCTCCTGCCCCCTTCACTCACCAGGATGCAGGTCCAGCTGTGGCTGTCCTCCCACTGCTTTGTGGTGCTGAGCAGTCCTGTTATGCCGGTGCCCCTCACTCCTAAGCCCCAGCTCCAACAACTGCAGCCCTGCCAGTGCCCTTCACTTGCCACCCGGTGCCCCCTGCCTCCCTGCCAGTGCCCCTCACTTCTGACCTGCTGCTCCTCTACCACCAGGCCCCTGTCCCCCGTGTGTGGGGAAGGGGGTGGGTGTGTGTGTCAGGGCAGGTGCCCAAGCTTAGGCAACACCGTTGATGATGTGTCAGGGGCACGGGGCTGCAGCCTGGCTGGACTGGCACCAGGAAGACATGGTACATGAGGGTGGAGTGGGGCAGTGAGACTTGTTGTTGCTGGTGCTGGGACCCCCATGCCAGCTGCACTGCCATGGAGTAATGCTGCACTGCCGGCAGTGCAAGGAGTTACCGGGGGGAGGCCATGCTACCTTCACCTTCTCCCACTGCCAGCCACTCATGTGCCAGGTGGCAGCTCTATTGGCCTGACTGCCACTGCTGCTCCCTTCAGACCACCCGTACAGCCAGTCACCTTGCCTCTCCTCTGGGGTAGAGCCATGGTTGGATGCAAGAGGAGGTGAGGGCAGTGCGGCACCCCCCCACCCGGTCCATTACTGCTTACGTTGCTGGCGGCATGGCGTTACTCTGTAGTACAGCTGGCATGGGGGTCCCAGCAGTGGCAGCAGCAGCAATAAGTCTTGCTGCCTCACTCTGCCCTCCCGTGCTGGGTTCTGCCTGCTGGGCCACAGAGGCAGCCTGGTGCTGGTCTGGCCAGGCTGCAGCCCTGTGCCCTGTTGTGGGAGGGCACATGCCTCCTCCTCCCCCATATCCTCCTGTGTCACATATATGGTGCCTGACCCCCTCTCTGGGAGTGCACACAGCTCCTGGGAGCCAACCCACCCCCCACCAGCCCCTCTCCCAGATGAGGTGCCTGTGGCTCTCTCCTGCTCCCCGGATGGGCCCTGCAGCCATGCATTCTTGCCCCAGACCAGACTCTGTGCACTGCCCTGGTTGGGCAGAGCTCCCAACCTCAGCTACCAACCGTACGCCACTCCCTCACTCACCATGAGGGTGCAGCATGAGTTGCAACTGCCACTTCAATATGGCCCCACCCTGCCCTAGCGCGTTGCCTACAGGCAACTGGGGGAGCTGCTCTCTACCATGCTTCCTGGGGCTATATTGCTAGCCATGTGCGTGTGGTGCCCCCTGTGTCCAATCAGCCTCCTCCCATTTTCCCCCACCCCCAAGCAGCCCTTTGCAGGCTGAAACCCATGGTTTCCTACATTTTTCTCCTTTAAAGGAGAAAATCTGCATTTTTCTCTGGCAAACGGAAAACCTGGATCCCTGTTTTTATCATCATAGAAGCATGCAGATGTAATGGTTGTGTTGGAAGAGCTTGTTTCAGTATCATTTGATAGTGATACAATTGTTACATGCCCACATACTAGGGCTGTGCGAAGCTTTGGGTACTGATTCAATTCAGAGGAGATTTGGCCCGATTTGGTGGCCGAATCTCCGAATCCAAATCAAATTGGGAGACTAATTAAAAGGTCTGAATCGATTCAAAACTCTCCAAATCAATTTGGAAAAGATTCAGAGAGCCTTGGTGATTTGGGCAGTCCCTGCTTGCTGCTGCAGGGAGCTGGACCCGGACTCTGTGCTGGTAAGTAAGAGGAGGGGGGAGGGAACCATGGGCCCCATCCTCTGCCTGCTCCCCAGCTCCCCTGAGCGCCCCCCCGACCCCCACCCACTCTCTCAGCCACCCCTATGGCTTCCATCTCCCGGCTCATATCAGAGCCCACCACGCAGTGGGGGCAGCGGGGATTGCCCCCCTCCTGCATCTGGCAGCAGCCAGTGAGTGGGGGCTTTTTTTAAAGCACCAGGAGCTGGGAGAGCAGGCAGAGGATGGGGCCAATTTGGAGATTTGGCCGATTCGGCTGTGGCTGAATCTGGATTTAGCTGAATCGATTCGGGACAGTGATTTGAATCACCAAATCGAATCATTGTCCCCCGAATTGGCTGAATCTAAATCCAAAGTGAATACTAGCTGCTTCACACAGGCCTACCATATACCCTTAGTCACGATAGCTAGTATGACTTCAGAAGTGAGGAGGGGGCAGACCGGCTCCCCCCTGCCACTCATAACACTGAGAACACTTCTGGCACTTAGTGGGAGGAAACAAGCACTTGAAAATAATTTCTTTTCTCATCAAATGGTAACTAACAGCAAGGAAAAATAAGTTTACAGTGCATAAGGAATGTAACTTGACATTTATAGTCTCTTCCCTTTTTTCCTTTTAAAAAGGAATCTACTTTTATGGACTATTGTATCACCTGGGGTGTTCTGCTTGAGTGAAGCATGTATTAGGTCATAAATTATTGTTTATAATATTGAGAGTGTTCTGAATTTTGGTAATCTAGACTTTGAGAGATTTTCATGCCAGGGGAGGTAGGAAAAACTTCAATAACAAGAGAAAATGAGGAAAGTCAAAGCTGTTGTACTGAGGTGCTTTCTGTTTGCTCCCCTCCCCATTTGTTTCTTTGTGTTTGTTCTACTTTTATAAACCTGTTTTGTGCTAATTCACTTTTTTCTTGGGAATTAAATGATTGGCATAATTTCATGTTAATGAGAAGCAAATTGGCATAAAGCATTAAGGATGTTCCCTATTCTTAAGTGAATTCCATTAAGATAATATTTATTAGTAGTAATATTGCTTAACAGCGAAACAAGCTGTCCATATTGTTTTAAGTTGCATGTAAACATGATGGCAAGACACTAATGGAAAAAATATCTCTTTTGCATATTGCTTACCGAAATTGCTACCTGTGACCCTGGATGCTAGTACAGCAAAGTAAGCAAGGCTACAGGGTCCTAAATTAGAATAAGGGAATTGAACCGGTGTGAATTTATTAATGGATACTGCAAAGAGAAATAGGAGAGTGAGGAATAAATGCTTATTATGGAATGATGTGTAAAAGTTTTTATGGGACTGGTTGCTGTGGTGAATGGGTTAATATACTAAGGTAGTTGAAATATTTAATCATATGGCTACAGTAAAGTACACTCTGCTTAATGTTTGTACTTAAACCATCTGAAAATCAGTGTAATTTTACTGAATCATTAATATGCTTAAGAGTCATTTTGGCCTATAGCTACAAAGAAACATTCAGGACTGGGTTTGACACACAGATATAATTCAGTTTGTCTTCCGAGCACTCCTAAGAAATGAGTCGTTTTCTTATTAGATGTACATACTAAAGAAGGAGAGTTGACTATGCAGTTCACTGCTGAAGTGTGGTAATGTAATTAGAAACTTCTTCCAAGGGCTTGAAGTTTCAGCAATGAAGATTACATCAAACATATATGATTTCATGACTGCTTTTTAAAGTCAAACCACAGTAATATATTAAATCATGAATTGCAAGCAGGAAAAGAACAGAATGAGATAATACAGGTGATAAATCAGGAGTGGGCAATTATTTTGGGCAGAGGGCTGCTTAGCAAGTTTTGGCAAGCTGTGGAGGGCTGCATGGGTAACCCTGCCCTTTGACACGTACCCCACCCCCAGGTTGTCATCTTGGGACCAGAATTCCTTCCCTGACCTCTGACCCTTGCCACCGGACATCCTTCCCCTTGCCTCTGGAAGTACTCCTTTGGAGAACAGGGTTTGCTATCCTAGAACCAGAAAAAAAGCAAATTATGTACTAAAAATCAAATACCCATAATATTATATTTTAATTCAATTAAAAAATATATTTTTGTCCTGATATGTGTGTGTTTGTGTTTTATATGTAGAAGTGATTGCATAATAACTAAAAATGCAGTCTTGTGTAGTGTTTGGGGTGTTTGGGGTGTCAGGGGAGTGTGGGTGGGTGGATGTGTGGTTTGTGGAGAGGTGTGGATGTGTGTGTGTGTGGTATTTGTGGGATGTGTGATTGTGTCTGGAGGAGGATGAGGCTGTGTGGTTTCCAGGAAGGGTTGCAGGGGGGGTGCCAGCTGAGCCCTTGCAGCCCAAAGCCTCGTGGCCACGTTTGTACTCTGGTGGCTCCTGCTGCCGCCAGGAGGCTGGGGGCTGCCAGGGAAGGGCCTGTCAGGCTCGGGGCGGGGAGGGGGGACAGTGCAAGATGCTACCAGAACTGCGGGGGGTGGCAAGAGCTGGCGGGGATGTGGCCCGGGACGCGGAAAGCCCAGGGAGGTGGCACAGAACTTTCATGGTGCTTCAGGGGCTTCGGGCAGCAACGGCTTGGCTACCCCCCTCTCCACAGGCAGCCCGAGGGTTGCCACCACCCCAGAGGGGAGGCCTTGCCCCCCAACCCTGGGACAGGAAGGGAGGCTATGCCAGGAGCCAGAGCAGAGCGACGGCTGCTTTTCTGTTTCAGGAGCTCCTGCAGCTTCCAGGAGGTCAGGGCCTCCAGGAAGCTCCTGGCCAGCCCTGGGGGTAGTGTGGGGGGGCCACCCAAGGCCACTGGGGTGGCACATGGCCCAGGATGCAGGAAGCCCAGGGTTGCAGCACGGAAGTTACATCCTGCGCCTGATGCTTGGGATGGCAACAGCCTGGCTGCTCCACCCCCTCCGCCCCCATGGGTGGCCCCGGTGGGTGCTGCTGCCTCGGGGGGAAGGCTCTTCCCCACCACCCTGCAGGGGCCCAGCAACCTGGCAGCAGCTCACCCCCTGGCCCCAGGACAGGCGGGAGGCTGCGCCAGGAGCCGGAGCAGAGCCACGGCTGCTTTTTTTGCTCTGAAAGCTCCTGTGGCTTCCCCGAGCTTCCTGTGCCCCAGGCCAGGACCCTGCTAGGTTATGCCGCCCCCAGCAGCCCCAGGAAGTGACCTGCTCTGCCCCCAGAGCCAGCCAAGAACATCCCAGGGCCCCTGGGGTCCTTGCGGCCGCAGGAGCTTCTGGAGCAGAAAAGCGGCCGTGGTTCCGCTCCCGCTCCTGCTGCATCCTCCTCGCCCATCCTGGGGCTGGGGACCAAGGTGCCGCTGGACCCCTGTGGGGTGGGGGGGCCCAGGCCTTCCCCCCAGAGCAACAGCACCCACTGGAGCCTCCTGTGGGGGGAGTAGCCAGGCTGTTGCCGCCTCAAGCCTCAGGCGCGGGATACAAGTTCCATGCTGCCTCCCCGCGCCCTGGGCCATGTCCCCACCAGCTCATGCTGCCCCCAGCGGCCCCAGGCACCCCCCGCGCTGCCCCCAGGGCTGGACGGGGGTTGGGAGCCAGCAACAGCCAGGCGGTGCCCTGGGGCCAGTGCCGGCGGGGCCCAGAGCAGGGTGGCAGGAGCCTGGAGTGCAGCTGGCTGGTCTCTGTGGAGCTGGGCTGGGCTGCCCCAGCAGGGAGAGAGGGGGGCCATCCTGCTCTGGCCTCCGCTGGTGCTGGCTCCTGCATGCCCCCTCACTCCCAGCCCCCCACTCCAGCCCCGCAGTCAGGCAGGGACCAGCACGCGCAGCCTTGACTCCCTCCTACCTGAGTTTCCCGCTCCGGCATAGGCAGGAATAGCTCCATGGTCCCTCCGGCTGTGGGGGGCAGGGCAGGCCCTGCTCTTCCAGGGGCCTGCTGTGGCTTCCCTTGGGTCCTACTGCCCCTGGCTCCTGTCACTTTTGACAGGAGCCAGAGGCAAATAAATATTAATTTTTAAAAATTTTCTAGGGGCCCCGTGGGCCAGATAAAATGTCCTGGCGGGCCTGATGTAGCCCATGGCCTGTATTTTACCCACTCCTGTGATAAATACATTCATACTAACTAGAAAGCACAAGTTCAGTAGTATATGGGGTTTAGAAAGTATGTTTCCCTATTGTGATAGTATGAAATGCAAAATACCTGGGCCCTTTTCATCAGATAAAGTTATGCTAAATGGCAACACCTCTTTCCCCCCCCCCCCCCAAAAAAAAAAAAAAATCTGGGGGCGGGGAAAGATTTCTTACCTAGAGCTCAAAAAAGATTTAACATGACTCTTTATTGATAGTTTGTATGTTAATTTAATCTAGGAATAAGAGAAACCTTTTAGGGCATGGACAAACATTCAAGTAGTGTCAAAAAGGGAAGGGAGAGCTGCTGAAGCAGCAGCTGCTTTAACATATGCACTAGTGATGCAAGCGAGTTAAATCACCCCAACTTTAACCCTGGATGAATTAGGCTTAAAGCTGGAATAATTTTGCTATCTTTGTATCTCTGTAGGCTCCTGTGCACCTAATTGTTACAGGGTAATAGATGCAGCAATTCCCCCTTCCATTTTGAAACCACTCCAAGTTAACCTTTGTCCTTAGCCACATACTTTCTCCTTTTAGAACAAGAAAAAAGTGCATGGGGGGGAATCCTTTGCGGACCCAGGCAGTGAAATCAACTGTGGAACACTAGGGGTGGGAAATGGTAATAGAATATCTAATCCTGGAAGATGTAAGAGTGATTATGAGAAGTGTCAGGTATGCTCTCAAAAATGGAAAAATGCAGTTGTGTCTTGCTGTTGCCAAAATAGCTTTTTCTAGTGTGATGCTGTAGCATCCCTCTCTTTGAAGCCCTCCATTGGCTTCCCTTTCTCGGTTGCATAAAACAGATACAGATTCTTTTTACTTTTGAGTTTTTTCCAGGATCTTAGTTATGCACATAAACAAGAAAATATATCTTAATAGATTATAACTATATTAACATATATAACAGATCTGTTGAAAGTCTGACACTCTTGCTCAACATGCTTGTTCTAAAAAAAAACCCCTCTTTTTTTTCCTGCTGTAATTTAAAATAATCTATATTCAGAGTGGAATCTGAGCAACTTTTCATTATTGTACTGTCATTGGTGTTGAAATTGATAGTGCAATATCAAAGTATACCTATTCAGAATAATATTATTTTGTTTCTAAATAAAAACTAGGGTTAATGATTGTCCACCTGGATTTTATTCTAAACATGTGACCTCTTAAAGCATTGGTGAACAGGTTTAGAATCATACAAAGGATAAATTAATAATTGACTAATAATGTATGTCAAATATTTCAAATATTATCAAATTAAATTTATTTTAGGATTTTCTGCTTTTAGAAGTGAAACAGATTTCTTAGCACTTTAAAAGTGTCAAATTCTTGTGGTTCTCCCCGTGAGATTGATAAAACACAGATGAAGGAATGAAGGCTAATGACTTGACCTCCATTTCTTTAAGTCTTTGAGAGAGCTATGGATAAAATTCTTATCTTCCTAGTGTTGTAAGCATAAGAACATCTTTCGTTATTTTGATGGTAGTTTCCGCTTATGTATGGGTAAATTTTTGGGACATTTATTTGTCAAATGAAGAAAAGGAGAGACTGTTGTCCTTTAGGCATTGTGAATGTTATTGAGTGTTAATGAATTAATATTCTTTTTCAGAAATGCAAAATGCCATTCACATATTTAAAGATGAAGTGGGATTTGTTGTTATTGTTACCTACATAATATCAGCCATAGAATTTCATTCGCTTTGGAAATAAACTTTTACAATATGTTATTTGGAACACTTGGTCTTATTTTTTGAAGTTGACACAGCTGAGCAAAATACTATTTTTTAACTATCTGCTTTAAATTCTCACTTGAAATTCTTATTTTAGCTAAATGTTTACTAAAACTGATTGTTTGGCATTCTGTCATTTTCCTTGTAGGATGTTGTTATGGAAGAGTACAGTGAAAAGAACTTTTATGAGTCTGATGAAGAACAGAAAGAAAAGGAACAGAAAGTGAAGAAACTGTATGCTATGGATCCAGACCACAGGCTGCTTTTACGGAATACAAAGCCTTTGCTACAAAGCCGAAATGCTGCTGTATGACAAACACTTTTTTAACTGTGTATCTTGAATTATTACTAAATCTCTGTACCTCTAGGAAGTTTTAATCAAGATCTTGAAGCATTCAAGACTAGAATATGTATCTAAAAATAGATAAGAAATACTTGTAGAATTGTTGTTACCTGTGTTGATAAAGCACAGTTGTCTTGTTGTGTTTAAGGCCTCTGGTAGATATGGCACTTCAGACATGCTTAACCTATTACATGCATCTTAAATAATAACTTGGCCACACATTCAGGCAATTAGTAGTACCATAAAACACAAAATCAGCCACAAAATTATTCCACAAAATAGGTATAGTAATTTTGTGACTTGTTTCTATCATGCCTTAAACTGATTTTGTGGCAGGGTCCCCCACCATGTAGCCTGATGCTGGCTGCATAGTAGGGCTTGGTTGACAACTCTCCCATCCCTGGGGCCACACCAGAGTCTTGAACTGGCTCTGGTGCAGTCCTTAGGCTAAGACCCACAATCAGCTAATTTTGAAGACATAAAAACACTAGGACTGTGTGAAGCTTTGGTTGCTGATTTGATTTGGAGGAGATTCGGCCGAATTCAGTGGCTGAATCTCTGAATCCGAATTGAATCAGAAGCGTCGATTTGGAGAGATTTGATGATTTGGCCATAGACACAGCTTTATATGTTTTTTTCTACATACCTTACGGTACCAGGTGCGACTTGTGAGTGCTGAGATGGTGAGGTGGATGGAGCATCCCATGGGAGCACAGTGGGGGGGGTCCCCCTGCGCTTGGCAGCAGACCCAGAAGTGGACCAGAAGTACTTCTGGTCCACTTCCTGGTCTACCATAGAGTGTGCGGGAGGACACCCCCCCCCACCCCCCCAGCCTCCCAGCTTGGCAAATGTGCCTCCTGAGTCTGGGGGGGCACCCAGGGTCCCCCTGTGGCCAGTTGCCAAGCTAGGGGAGTGCAGGGGGGTTCCCTGCATGCTTGGCGGCGGACCCTGCATTCCCATAGGACGCTCCATCAGCCCCACCATCTCAGCATTCATAAGCCCTAGCTGGCACCTCGAGGTACGTAGAAAAAGCATATAAAGCGGTGCCTGTGGCCAAATTGCTGATTCTCTGTATCAGAATCGAATCTTCAGATTCAGCCCAATCAAATCGGGATAGCGATCCGACTCAGCAAATCGAACCACTTGTCATAGATTCATAGATGCTAGGGTCGGAAGGGACCTCAATAGATCATCGAGTCCAACCCCCTGCATAAGCAGGAAAGAGGGCTGGGTCTAGATGACCCCAGCTAGATACTCATCTAACCTCCTCTTGAAGACCCCCAGGGTAGGGGAGAG